AGTGCTTTTAATCCACGTCGACCTCGTCTAAAGATTGATTGTAGAACACTTTTACATGTAAAGAGAAGGCAAGATGAAAAATGTTTTGTTCATGATTTCATCAAGGAACATAACCATGAATTTTTTCCTAGCCATGCACACTATTTGCCATGTCATAGGAGCATCAATCCTACTATCAAACATAATATTGATACTTTGCATGCAGTTGGGGTGAAGACAAATAAGATTTTTGCTATAATGGCCAAAGAAAATGGTGGGTATGAACATATAGGTTTTTTTTTGGAAAAAAGACATTAGAAATCATTTTTGTAACACCCGTGATTTTTAATTTTTGTATTTGGGGTATTTTACGTCTAAGTATATATAGGATAGTATAATGGAGATGTAAGTAGGTACGTTGTTTGTTTTAATACGAGTGTTTGGATATTTAAGCTTTTAACGTGGATTAGGATAATGGAGATATTTTCCGAGGATTAGCCTACGATCAAGGGGCGGTTCTAACTGAAGATGGGTATTAAATCAGTTTCATAACGGATGTAGAATAAATTACAAATGGTAATTCCAAAGATGATAACGTCTTACGACGATCAAAGTATTTTTACCAACGCGATTATATAGTTCTCTATATGTAATTTTGTTATTTGATAATTATTAATTTGGACAGAAGGATTTACAAAGCAAAATTGAAAGAGCGGCTGTGTTGGATCATTGAACTGATAATGGAAGTTTAATTGGCAAGTTTAATCTTACTCTCTCTTGTCTAGATTATTTAGAGTTTTAATTGTTTGTGGATCGATCTGAGTATTACATACGATTCAACGTTTATTGATTCTGAGTTTCATTCTAGTTGTTATCCTGTCTGTTTGGAGTTTTATTTTAGTTTTTATTGTGTACATAGAATATTTTCATGTAGATTCTAAGAAAGGCACATAGAGACCTATTAAGTTGGAATCTTGCCTGGTAGAGTTGTACTAGATTATGTAGGTTTAGATTGGAATTAGACCGTAATTGTTTTTGGATACAGGTGTATATGTAAATAGTTTCTAAGAGAGTGATCCTATAGTGAGAATGGTAGGTGTCTGGAACTGCAAGCATGTGCTATTACAGGATATGGTTGATTCATTGATTAGGTGATGAGTTTGTTTCACATGCTATATAACTATCTCTTTTTCGGTGATCTTTCCATACAAGGGTTGGATATGTTCCAACCTAATATGGAGTATCACATGTATTATTGGATAAGTTCCCACATAATTTGTTGAATAGGTTAGATTTGTTCCTTACCTTATATTTGAGAGGTTGGATTCGTTCCTTACCTATGTGTATGTGGTTGCATGTGATTCTTGCATATGAGGTTTGATGTGTTCGTTACCTAAGTTGGAATTGATCCTTAAATGAGCAGTTAAAAGTGGGAAATTATATTATTGGATTCATTTTTAACAGCTATTTAAGTAGTCATTTCTTATTATGTGGTACATTTATTTATTGGGGTGAGATAAGATTATTAGTTGCTGAGTAGGGATCTTGCTGAGCTTTTGAGCTCACTCCATTCTTATCATTTCAGATACTTGATGGTTGTAAAGTTGTCATTGAAGGCCGGCCAGAAAGAACTAGAGTGGTTATTTTTATTTTTATTTTATTTTATTTTCATCAGAGATGAATGGAGGATTAGATGTATCTATTTTGAGGTGGATATTGTAGTATATATATCTATGCTTATAGAAAGAAAGACGATTTGTTGGATCACACCCATATTTGAGTTTTAATATGAGCTGTATCTGTATTTGAATTTTTGGGGCGTGACAATTTTGATAAAGAAAAACGTTTGGAGTTAGCATTAGGGATGCTCAAGCAATGTTAGAACATTTTATGCATATGCAAGAAGAGAATGCTAAATTTTTTTATGCATTGGATTTAGATGAAGAACAATGTTTAAGAAATATTTTCTAGGTTGATGCAAAAGGGCGAGAAGTTTATAAGATATTTGGAGATGTAGTTTCTTTTGATACTACATACATCACAAATAAATACAAAATGCCATTTGCTCCATTTGTTGGTGTGAATAATCACTTCCAATCTACACTTCTTGGTTGTGCATTGCTTGTAGATTAGACTACATCAACATTTATTTGGCTAATGCAAACATGAATTAGAGCAATGGATGGAGAATCTCCAACTGCTATACTAAGTGACCAAGACAAGGCTATGAAAGCAGCCATTTCAGAGGTATTCCCAAATGCATGGCATCGCTTTTGTTTGTGGCATATATTGAGAAAAAGTTTCCGAAAAGCTTGGTCATGTAATAAGAAACATTAAAATTTTATGGGAATATCCAATAGATGTATTTATAATTCAAGGACAGACGAGGACTTTGAGAAGAAATGGAGTGACATGGTTGAAAGATTTGAACTTAGAGAGAATGAATGGATTGGAACTTTATTTGAGGATCGTAAACATTGGGTTCCTATTTACATGAGAGATACATTTTTTGCCGGAATGTTTACAACTCAAAGATCTGAAAGTATAAAATTCTTCTTTGATAAATATGTGAACAAGAAGACTTTACTGAAGGAGTTTGTTGAACAATATATGGTGGCTTTACAAGATAGAGAATAAAAGGAGACATTTGCTGATTTTGGTACATTGTACAAAAAAGCAATTTTAAAGTCTTCTTCACCTTTTGAGAAACAAATGTCAACAACTTACACACTTGAAGTCTTCAAAAAATTTCAAGTTGAGATTTTAGGAGCATTTGGATGCTATCCTAAAAAAGAATTAGACAATGGCACGGTTAAGAATTTGAAGTTCAAGATTTTGAAAAGAATGAAGATTTCATGGTAATTTGGGATGCAAGCAAGGAAGAGATTTTTTTTGTTTATGTCGTCTATTCAAGTACAATGGGTACCTTTGTAGACATGCGGTGGCGGTACTCCAATCTTTTGGTGTTTTTAACATCCCATCTCAATACATCTTAAAGAGATGGACTAAAGATGCAAAAAAGTGTTAATACCATAAAAAATATTCCAAAAGATGTTCGTTTGAAGAAACAACGTTTTAATGAGTTACTTCAAGAAGCCACCAAGTTGAGTGAGGAGGGATCAATATGCCCCGAGAGTTTTAACATCGCATATGATGCTTTAAAGGAAGCTTTGAAAAGGTGTGCAACGATCTTTTAAGGGCTTTAAGGAGCCTAATAGTTCACTTGATCTTGATTAAGAGATTGTTGATAGTAATGTGATGCTTGACCCACAAGTGTCAATTACAAAAGGAGCTCCTAAAAGGATGAAAAAGGGACTAAGAAAGGACTAAAAGAAAATGCAACAAACCAAAAGAGGTTAGAATTTTTGTTGCCTTGCATAAATACTATCTCATGTTGTGATATATTTCGTCGTTACTAATTGTTATTGTTTGACATTATTTTAGGTTCAAAAACCTCTTGAAGTGCCGAAGAGAAAGTCCATAGAAAGAGAGGCCAGTTTGTCAATTTTTTTCTTCAAATTTTCAAATACTTTATCCAAAATTAGTGGAATTGTTCCTTTTGATGAAATGGAATATTGTATCTCCATATCCATTCTTTGTGTTTTAGGGACATGCAAACTCAAGGACCGAAAGATTTCATAATATGCATAATCCTCAAGAACAAGATCTAGTATAATGTAATAGGTGATGATACTTATTTATTTTTTACTTTTTATTTGGTCATAGTAAAATATGTATATTCAATATGTGTAGCAGGAAGAGAATCGTTGTCATGTATTTGTTTATAACCAACTTACACAAGATTGGAAATTTGAGTTAATACCACCCCCTACAAAAGATTTTGAGGTGTATATTAAATTAATAATTGTAGTTCACTTTGTAGTTGCATACCATAAAATAAAATGGTATTTGATTTTTAGGTTTGATGAGAAGCTTTATTTCTTATGAGGAAAAGGAATACTTGTTTTATGAAAAACTTTATTTTTGGCCATGATCTTTTGGGATATGATTAGATTACATTTAATTATATTTATTAACATAACAAACTTTTGATCATGTAGTAATCTTTTGGTTATGATTGGATTACATTCAATTAGATATATTAACATACTTACTTTTGAACATATAGTATTCTGTGTGTGATATAATTGGATGTAATTTGACATTTGATTATGGGTGTGGATAAATTTTACTCTTTTGTTACTGAAAGTATTATTAACACTTGATGTACTTTATTGTATTTTGGTTCATAAAAAAATTCCACATTCCAGTATTGTTGCTTTGTTGCTGCTATAATGTTGCAGTCCATTCTATTGCTATTGAGTTAGTTTTCGGTTCATTTGTTATTAGTTGCTGCAGTTTTGTTTTGCCCTCTTATGGGCTTTTGTTCTTGGTTTCCCATAAATATACCCCTTATTATTTCTCTTGTACTATTATGTTCATTTTTTTTATACAATATTTTTCACTTTAAATAAATAGAAAATATTTCACATTCAGGAAAAAAAAATAGAGTAAATAATCAGATCTGTTGTATTAGTGGTGTTATTATATTTATGTAAAGTTTGTAATTGGAACAAAATTTTTAGGATTGATAAAAATTGAAGTCTAAATTTAAATTGTATAGATTTTGTTTCACAGTAAAATATGACCCAAAAATCAAACAATACAAAGACAAACCATCAGGTGAGCAAAAAAAAAAAATAAAAAAAAATAAATAAATAACCAACAACAATTAAGCTACGAGGATAAGTCACAAATGATAACTGATTCCTAAACTACTACGACAAGCGACTATAAAGCCATAGTCGCCCTAGCAAAACCCATATTATATATATAAATATATACACATATAAAAAAAGAAAAAATTAGACATACATAAAGACTCTTTGGTTTAATTCAGTCTCATCTTTAAGGAGACCTCACATTTGCAAAAATTGTCTAGACAACTTATTTTTTCTTACACACATTAGTCTCTTTTGGTCAACGGTTAAAGCTGATCAGACACACTTTTGCAATTTTAATATCCAAATTACCTCTCAACGATTATGTTTGACTATAGACTATAAACCATCTTTGAGTCGAGTTGTACTGATAAATTAAAAAATTTAGTTTTAATGCCCAAATTGCCGCTCGGCACCACGATGGTTTTGTTAAGCTGATCCACTGGGACTCGTATTGTTGTTACCAATACTGCCTATGCCACCGGTGAGAAGTTCAGTGAAAGAGGTCTGAGAAATGGGATGATTGATGACACAAGAAATTTGAGACTCACTTTCCTCCTTCTCCGCCCTCTCTCTTGCTCGCTCTGGAGCTTTTATGCGATTTTCAGATCGAGCAAGGGACAAAGATGAGCCTTTGCTAGTCTCTGAAGTGATACTACAAGCCGAATTCGGTAAAGAAATATGTTGTTGTTGCTGATAATTTTGCTCACCAGCATCTAATTCTGCATCAGCTAAATCTATCATCTTTATATCATTGAATTGCTTCGGAGTGTCCAGAAACGAAGTGTTAATTGGAGGTAGCTCATCAATGGAACTAGCAGCAGCACTCAGTAGCCATCCCACTGCCTTGCTGGGCCGATCATAACCGAGACAATCTTGAAGATCATAAAGTTTTATTGCCGTGTGAACTGAGAGACGGACTCGACGGTCCCGAGGCCCTTTGGAGGTCAAAACCTTGCTGTGCCGATCTTTCCCTCCCGAATCTCCCGATGCCCGAGAAACCCTAACAATCTGCGATGTCGATAAAGAAATATGTTGTAGCTGCTGAAAATTTTGCTCACCACCATCTAATTCTGCATCAGCTAAATCAATCTTCTTTATATCATTCATTTGCCTCGGAGTGTCCAGAAACGAAGTGTTAATTGAAGGTAGCTCATCAGTGGATCTAGCAGCCGCACTCAGTAGCCAATCCACGGCCTTGCTGGGCTTATCATAACCGAGACGATCTTGAAGATCATAAAACTGTATTGCCGTGGGAACTGAGAGATGGATTCGACGGTCCCGAAGCCCTTTGGAGGTCCAAACCTTGCTGTGCCGATCTTTCCCTCCCGATGACCGAGAAACCCTAACAATCTGCGATGTCGGCGACCCACGGCCAAGGCCAGCGCTTCCGCCGCCAATTGCTCCCCTCATCCGTTTGACCTCTCCATCTTCTTCATCATCTAGGTATAGCTCATTCCCTTTTTGCCGACTCATCTTGTTACATCCCTGCATTTGAATCTCGTCCACCTCCATACCACTTTCATGCCTTTCTCAACAAAACAAAACCAAGAAAAAGACCCAGTTTTTAGAGAGAGAGTGGTTGGCTTGAATCACAAAGCTTTAGCTTGGAAGGTAAAATTGACACCAAATGCTTTAAAAAAAATTAAACGAATTCATTCCAGAATCAAGAGGACGTAAAGTTTATTATGGGAATCATTGACCATAGTGTGTAGCCAACTTGATTCAAAAATGGTATATCATTGACTGGCTGTTTGGTTCGACAGATAAAGTCAACCTTGGTGGGAGTTATGGTTCAACAGGTAAAGCAAACCTCGGTGCGAGTTATAACACACGTTGTTTAGTCAAGGTAAAGTGTATTTAAGAAAACGACAAAAAAGTGAATTACTCATCACATTCATTTATTTGTTTTTGTCAACTGACGATGTCCAACGAGTTTGACTAAATTTTTACAAATATGGAGATTTCCTTTAGATTGGACAAACTACAGTGAGTTTAACTGAATTAAATCCAAGAATCTTTTACTTTTAGCTCCAAATTTTCTAAATGTGCTAACTAAATGTCCCTCCTGATTTTGAATAACCATTTAAAAAGCAAGAAAAACAGTTTAAAATTCGAGTTCAAACCACCAACTAAATGGACTTCAAATAGTTTAATTTTGGTTTTGAATAACCACCAAAATAGACTTTGAAGAGTCAAGTCCGTGGGTTGGAGGTAAAAAAGTCAAAAACGACAAAACTGGTTCATGAAAGAGAGTGTGGAGAGAGTTAAAACATCCCCATTGATTTATGTACATCCAACAGTTTGGTCGTTGGCTCGTGCAAACAACCATTTCAGCTTTCTTGTTAGGATATAATTTTGACACTATTTGTCATGATATGCTGGTTTCCGATCCTTTTGTAGATTTCATTTCATTAACTCTCCCAACCACAACCACAACCACAATCGATATATAGAAACAAAAGAATATTAAGAAGCAAACAAGAAAAACCCCTCTTGCAAAAACCAAATAAACAAAATCCATACCTGAGTAATGCGGATTCGCGCGCTAACGCCTTCATTACCTTGGAAGATTTCAAAGCCTCACCGCCGTCAATCTCACTTACATTATTGCAACTGCTCAAATCCATATATTTCATTGATTCCAAGGACAATAAGCATGGTGTTTGTTCATACAGAACAAGGTTAGCTAGCAAATCACATGCATATATGTCCAACCTTGTCAACGATTCCAAATTTCCAAGCCCTTGAATCTCTGTCAGCTTAATGCAATTTCTAACTGATAATCTCGACAAATTTTTCAAATTTGATAGATTGGGCAATCTTTCCAGTGAAGCACAGAATGCAAGAGATAAATCAACTAGACTTGAAGGTAACCCCAGTATACATTGCAGATTGTGACAAAACTGTACATCGAGCACCTTAAGCTGAGAAAGGGCATCAATCTCTTTTGGTAGGGTCCTAATGTTGGTATAATCCAAGGTCAATTTCTCCAGTTTGGATATTAAAGAAATATCTCTAGGAATCTCCACATACACACAGTACCCAACGAAGTGCAATTCCTGTAAATTGACCAATTTTTTTAGATTATGGAGGGAAGCAACATAAAGAACCCTTAAACTTGAGGGAAGCTCTGGTAGTGATTGAAGCTCTGTGCAGCCTCCTAATTTAAGGGTTTGGAGGCCAGAGAGCTCCGAAATGCCCGTTGGTAGACTTTGAATTTTGGTATCATAAAAGCTCAAGAATCTTAAAGATTTTAGACTCCCCAAATTACTAGGAATGTGCCCCTTCAAATAACTACAATGTGTGAAATCTATCACTTCCAGCTTCTCCAACATCCAAATTTCATCAGGTATATTCCTTATATCAGTATATGAAATGTCGAACACTTTTAAATTCTTCAGATTACCAATGGATCTGTCGACTTCAACTAAACTTTTCAAAACTTATTCAGGAAATGAAAACTACCTGTTGAAAGTGAATTCTTCAAATCAATAACAAACAGCCTTTACTTTCCAATCTTTTCAACGCAATAAAAACTGTAAAATGACATGAACCTCTAAGAGAAATTTAAATGTGAATTAATTTAAGGAACGGGGTGCACAAACAGTTTTTTCCTCCAATGAAAATGTCATCTCCATTAAAGTTTCTTAACTTCATTGAAGTGAAACAAAGAAAAAGAGGAGAAAATTTAAGCCTCTTTTATGACACCCATTGTGAAAGTCCAAAAAAGTAGACCTACCTACGTGCATGGTTTTGACCAATTAGGTTTTAGGTAGTCCCTCATTTTGACCAGCAACCAAAAACTATCCAAACCATATAGGAAACGCTGCTAGAGCTTAACAATCCACCGTTCCATTGACAAGTGTCGGGGAATGGCTATGGTGCAACTGAAATTCAAATGGAATTAATTGAAATGAAGCTAGGGCACACAAGTGTTTGGGATTTTAAAATTGTGCATTGGAATCTGAAAATTGCGTTCTTTCCACATAGCGACCAACACCTGGCTTGGCCAAGATATGCCAGAAAGAAGGGGAACCAAGAAGAGAACAAACAATGAGACAATCCACGCACAGGTTTCACAAAAGACAATACCAGTATATATATAACTAATCCCCTATAGTGGTGCTTTTTAGAATATTAAGAAATCAAACCATTAATGGTACCATAACTCTGATGCAAAATAGCAATTTAAAAATAATTAATATAAAAAAAAAAAAATAACCTATAGAACAGTATAGCAGAGTGAATGAAGCCCATGTGAAGAAAGAGCAACAAACAAATAAGCACAAAAAGCTTAACTTGCAAATAAAATTATACTAGTACTACTCAATACCACCACTTACCAGAGTTCGAAGATGTGCCAGGAGGAACTAGCCATTGAAGAAACTCAGTTCTTTCCTTTCCCCTTCTGGTCGGAATGCTGGCCGGAGTCACGATAGTAGAGTTGCAAGCGGCCATCAAGTCCAGGTGGGAAGTGATGATTATTCTCCATAGCTGCAGCATTTGAAGCCGCAGTGCCAATGAAGAAGGGCACATTTGATCCGTCTACAGAAGAAAACCTCTGAAGGTAAGGCATCAGAGACGGCGAATTGGACTGAAGGGTCCCCCTGTTGAAACCAGCAGTAACGCCGGAAGAGATTGTGAAGTTGAGGTTATAGTCGCCCCCACCAGCTGGGGCTGCCACCGAGACCAGATGGTCCGGGACGAAAGAGAAATGCTGCTGCTCTGGGTGGTGATCTCCAACGCTGAAAGGTGGAATGGTCATGGACTGTGGGAGGGAATTCCCCAAATGAATTTGGCCGGGAAACCCAGAAGAAGAATGATGTGTTCGGGACGATGACGGATCAAGAAGTTCGGAGGCGAAATAATCCATGGGAGCTGAAGACCACTGCCTTGTTGACTTGTGGAACATATTAGACTCGCCACCACGATGGTTTTGTTGAGCTGATCCACTGGGACTCGTATTGCTGTTACCAATACTGCCTATGCCACCGGTGAGAAGCTCAGTGAAAGAGGTCTGAGAAATGGGGTTCACATTGGGATGATTGATGACACAAGACTCATTTTCTTTCTCCTTCTCCTTCGCTGCCCTCTCTCTTTCTCGCTCTCGAGCTTTTATGCGATTTTCAGATCGAGCAAGGGACAAAGATGAGCCTTTGCTAGTTTCCGAAGTGCTACTACAAGCCGATTTCGATAAAGAAATATGTTGTTGCTGCTGATAATTTTGCTCACCACCATCTAATTCTGCATCAGCTAAATCAAACCTCTTTATATCATTCATTTGCTTAGGAGTGTCCAGAAACGAAGTGTTAATTGAAGGTAGCTCATCAATGGAACTAGCAGCCGCACTCAGTAGCCATTCCACGGCCTTGCTGGGCTGATCGTAACCGAGACGATCTTGAAGATCATAGAACTGTATTGCCGTGTGAACTGAGAGACGGACTCGACGGTCCCGAAGCCCTTTGGAGGTCCAAACCTTGCTGTGCCGATCTTTCCCTCCCGATGCCCGAGAAACCCTAACAATCCGCGATGTCGGCGACCCACGGCCAAGGCCAGCGCTTCCGCCACCAATTGCTCCCCTCATCCGTTTGACCTCTCCATCTTCTTCATCATCTGGGTATAGCTCATTCCCTTTTTGCCGACTCATCTTGTTACATCCCTGCATTTGAATCTCGTCCACCTCCATACCACTTTCATGCCTTTCTCAACAAAACAAAACCAAGAAAAAGACCCAGTTTTTAGAGAGAGAGTGGTTGGCTTGAATCACAAAGCTTTAGCTTGGAAGGTAAAATTGACACCAAATGCTTTAAAAAAAATTAAACGAATTCATTCCAGAATCAAGAGGACGTAGAGTTTATTATGGGAATCATTGACCATAGTGTGTAGCCAACTTGATTCAAAAATGGTATATCATTGACTGGCTGTTTGGTTCGACAGATAAAGTCAACCTTGGTGGGAGTTATGGTTCAACAGGTAAAGCAAACCTCGGTGCGAGTTATAACACACGTTGTTTAGTCAAGGTAAAGTGTATTTAAGAAAACGACAAAAAAGTGAATTACTCATCACATTCATTTATTTGTTTTTGTCAACTGACGATGTCCAACGAGTTTGATTAAATTTTTACAAATATGGAGATTTCCTTTAGATTGGACAAACTACAGTGAGTTTAACTGAATTAAATCCAAGAATCTTTTACTTTTAGCTCCAAATTTTCTAAATGTGCTAACTAAATGTCCCTCCTGATTTTGAATAACCATTTAAAAAGCAAGAAAAACAGTTTAAAATTCGAGTTCAAACCACCAACTAAATGGACTTCAAATAGTTTAATTTTGGTTTTGAATAACCACCAAAATAGACTTTGAAGAGTCAAGTCCGTGGGTTGGAGGTAAAAAAGTCAAAAACGACAAAACTGGTTCATGAAAGAGAGTGTGGAGAGAGTTAAAACATCCCCATTGATTTATGTACATCCAACAGTTTGGTCGTTGGCTCGTGCAAACAACCATTTCAGCTTTCTTGTTAAGATATAATTTTGACACTATTTGTCATGATATGCTGGTTTCCGATCCTTTTGTAGATTTCATTTCATTAACTCTCCCAACCACAACCACAACCACAATCACAATCGATATATAGAAACAAAAGAATATTAAGAAGCAAACAAGAAAAACCCCTCTTGCAAAAACCAAATAAACAAAATCCATACCTGAGTAATGCGGATTCGTGCGCTGACGGCTTCATTACCTTGGAAGATTTCAAAGCCTCACCGCCGTCAATCTCACTTACATTATTGCAACTGCTCAAATCCATATATTTCATTGATTCCAAGGACAATAAGCATGGTGTTTGTTCATACAGAACAAGGTTAGCTAGCAAATCACATGCATATATGTCCAACCTTGTCAACGATTCCAAATTTCCAAGCCCTTGAATCTCTGTCAGCTTAATGCAATTTCTAACTGATAATCTCGACAAATTTTTCAAATTTGATAGATTGGGCAATCTTTCCAGTGAAGCACAGAATGCAAGAGATAAATCAACTAGACTTGAAGGTAACCCCAGTATACATTGCAGATTGTGACAAAACTGTACATCGAGCACCTTAAGCTGAGAAAGGGCATCAATCTCTTTTGGTAGGGTCCTAATGTTGGTATAATCCAAGGTCAATTTCTCCAGTTTGGATATTAAAGAAATATCTCTAGGAATCTCCACATACACACAGTACCCAACGAAGTGCAATTCCTGTAAATTGACCAATTTTTTTAGATTATGGAGGGAAGCAACATAAAGAACCCTTAAACTTGAGGGAAGCTCTGGTAGTGATTGAAGCTCTGTGCAGCCTCCTAATTTAAGGGTTTGGAGGCCAGAGAGCTCCGAAATGCCCGTTGGTAGACTTTGAATTTTGGTATCATAAAAGCTCAAGAATCTTAAAGATTTTAGACTCCCCAAATTACTAGGAATGTGCCCCTTCAAATAACTACAATGTGTGAAATCTATCACTTCCAGCTTCTCCAACATCCAAATTTCATCAGGTATATTCCTTATATCAGTATATGAAATGTCGAACACTTTTAAATTCTTCAGATTACCAATGGATCTGTCGACTTCAACTAAACTTTTACACTGTTGAAGAATCAATATCTCTAAAGCTGCATTTGATGTAAAGTCTGGCGTTCTCCTTAAAGCACAATTAACCAGTTGTAGAACTTTCAACTTCTTTGCCATCTGGTAATAGAAATACGAGATTACCGAAAAGGATTGTTTCTAAACATGTATATTATGGGATAGAATCATAGAAGTGTAAGATATTTTCTTAGACACATGATTTGGACACGTTATTTTATTTTTATTATTAGGTGGTTAAGTAAATAGATATCACACTCATATTATATTATTTGGTCAACTTATAGATTATCTTTTTGGTAATTAATTATTAGAGAAGTGTTTTTTTATTTATTCCTTACTTTGATGAAAAGTGAAATTAAAGTTACTAAAAGAAAAACTAGTCTTTATAAAAGTGCACATTCCCATCAGTTATGTACACGAATAAAAATAACACGTATAATGTTTGTGTGTGCAAAAGGTCAGGAGAGAGAAATCGGTTTCTATGCTTTGGCTATTATTTGGACTTGCAGTTTAGCATATTATTCGTTCCGCGGAAAGGATTTCGACGTTTGGATTGATCTATATTAGATTTGTAATTACAGGTCGAGATATTTATTATATCTAACTATTTATTTATGCATTATAGGACTGTGAAAATAGTAAAGTTCTAAAATTTTGAGATTCATGTTTATTTGTAATGAATAATTTGCACGAATAATTAAAGTTTACATATGGTATCAGAGCATGGTTTAGGAATTCATTATTTTTCATTAATGTTGCGTAAATAATATGTGTAAATAAGATTTAAATTAATAATTCTATAATTCTTCGTTTGGAATCGGAGGTATGTTTTGATCAGTTTCATGTTGATCAGTCTCGTGGGTTTGGTTATATAATGTCTTACAATTCTCAAGGGTAGATCTTGATCGGTTTGTATACCAAACAATTTATTTTGATTTTCTACCTTGATTTTCGACCCAAATTGAATTACTGAAAGTTGAATACTAATATGTAGTTTACATGATAGTTTACAAATGAGTAATAGTTCAAACAGATGCATAATGCGTGTAAGACAAACAACATATATGCTTTATGTTCTCGATTTTCGTGCATGATTTGAATCATACATGAAATTGGAAAGTTGGAAGTCCTGTTTGTCATTATTTTGAAGATATAACTTGTCCAATGATTTCAAAGATCCGTGTTTTTAATTTTCTAATATATATATATATATATATTAAATAAATAAAAGTATGTCTTTTTATTTATTGTATTAAAAATAAATATGTATTAGAAATTTAAACATACATACATAATGAAGAATCAATTTTAATTTGATTCAATTATGATTTTCAAGTTCGAAAATAAAAATAATATGTTTTATTATGTATATAAAGTAAAATGATATTTTTATTGAATTTTTGGACTATTAAGTTTCTGGAATCGAACCTACCTAAATTTGGATCGATTAGTATGAGTATGTGTGTATAATGTTAAATAGGTAACTTAATGATAAATTAATCACTGTCTAATTTAATATTCATATTATGTAAAGATTGGTAGCTACCAAAGTGGCCTAATCATAATGATTGATGAATATTAATTTTTGTAGTAGACATAATTAATGATAAATTAGTTACTAGCTAATTTAATATTTATATTATGTAAAGGTTGGTAGTTACTAAAGTGGCCCAACCATCATGGTTGATGGATATTATTTTGAGTGGTAAGAATAATTGTAATATTTCATGAATTATGATGCTTATGATTTTTTTTGTGATATTCATGAATATTGAGTTTATTTAATTATGAGAAATAATTCCCCAAAGGGAATTGATTTTCAAGTAATTAAATGAAAATTAAGGGGTTGTATGTATTTTTTAATTAGGTGAATATAGGATATTCAAATGTAACTTACCTGTTTAATTAAATAATGCATCACCAATTAAATACATATAAATACAAAAAAGTATCATTATTAGTATTTTATAATTGCCACCCAAAGGGGTACTATAGTTATACATTGTATTTATATTTTAAGTTATATATACGTGTTAAAAACTCAAAGCATTTTTGTTGTGAGCATTTTGTCTTATTATGTTTGTTTTATTACATTCCTTAATTCACATGCTACATCAATTATAATTCTTAATAGGACTAACTTTTCATAATGGAATGAGTAAGTTAAGTTCAAAATTTAGATGTGCTACATCTTGATTTAGCATTCTAAATTGAGAAACTTATTGATTCTCCATAAAGCTTGGGAGAGATCGAACAAATTAAGCATTATAATTATGCGAATAATTGTTTCCCATAGTGATAATGCTAAGGAATATTTGACTAAAAGAATATTTTCGTATTGTACATAAATGTCTAAAATAAAAATTATTAATTAATATCACTACTATGCATTTTTGTTACTACTCGTATCATGTATAAATATGTTTTTTAGATGACTAATGTTGCTCCAAAATTGAGAACCTTAGGGATGATTGTGGATGGGAATTTTCTTATTCAATTTATTCTCAATTTTTGTTTACTCAGTATAGGTCATTTCAAATTAACACTATAAGACAAGTGGACAGTGAATTAATTGACCATTATGTTCATTTAGAAAGAGACAATTAAAACTTAAGCAGCAAGGTAATCATTAGTTCATCTCATAACTCAAGAATTTAGAAAGAAATTTGAGAAAAAACTTAAAAGGGCATTAAGCGAGCAACACCCAAAATTAAAAGACTTTAGTCAATCTATTAAACATATGGAATGTAATAATGCAAAAAGTGTCATTTATGTATTGAACACTTTTAGAAATATCACATGAAACATAAAGAATGATTCAAAAAAGAATGGTAAGCTTTTGACTTTTGTATATTTCGAATTACTTATTAAAATTATTTCTAATACATGATAGGTTGACTTAAGTACTAATGTTTATGTTTCTAATTGATGCATGGATTTCTTATGGCCTAAACCACAAATTCAAATGAAAATTTCTTATTTATGAGAATTGGGAAATTTTTTTGTTGAAACCATTGAGATATTTTGTTTAGTCTTAGATAATGGATTTTATTTAAATTGTTTTAAACTCTTTATATTTCTTCAATTTCCCATAATTTTATTTTATTTAAAAACTTTATATTAATAGTTTTTCCTTCAAATTTGATAATGATGTTTATTCAAGATATTCTAATTTGTGAGTTATGGTATTCTTGTTGATGATTTCTGTAAATTCAAACTTGATAGTTTATTTATTAAAATCCTTTTAACCTTACATCATAGTGTTAGAATTAAGCGTAGCTCAATTAATGAAAATTTATTTATCTTGTGTCATAAAAGACTGGCACATTATTCATTGAAAGGTTAGGAAAATTATTAAAGGATGTGATTCTTCTGAATTCAAACTTTACTGATTTTGGTGTGTGTGGGGGTTGTGTTAAGGGTAAACAAATCAAACACACAAAGAAATGAGCCACAAGAAGTACAGAACTTATTGAAATTATTCATACAGGCATTTGTAGACTTTCTGATGTTCCATCTTTTGGTGGAGAAAAGTATTTTATCGCCTTTATAGTTGATTTTTCATGTTATGAATATATCTATTTATTGCATGAAAAATCTCAAGCAATGGGTACTCTTGAAGTACACATAAATGAGGTTGAAAAATAACTAAATAGAAAAGTGAAAAAAATTATAAAATCATATAAAAGTAGTGAATATTATTGAAAGTATAATGAAACAGGTTAATACTCTAACCGTTTGCTAAATTCCTTAAAATGCATAGCATTTGTGCTCAATATACTATATCAAGCATGCCACAGTAGAAGCGTGTAGCTGAAAGGCATAATTGTACTCTTATGAATATGGTTAGGAGTATGTCAAATAATTTCTTGTTACCCATAATCTAAAATATACAAGTTTAATTATTTTAAACATAGTACGAGAATTGTTGAAACCGAAAATGTTAGATTCATTAAGAATGGTGAAGTTAGTAGGAGTGATAAAAATAAGAATGTGATCATTCAAGAAGTTAGGGTACAAATTTATTTACCCATAACTTTTAGGAAATAATTGTTCATTTAGTTGTTGAATCGTATAACAACGAAGAACAATTGAATGATCAATAACTCCATAATGAAATTGTCACCAATGAATAGATTGTAGAAAAACCACAAAGAATAACATTAAGACAATCTCAAAGAGAAAGAAAATCTGTTATTTCAAATGATTATGTGGTATATCTGTAAGAATCTGATTTTGAAAGTAAAGAATACATGGCCTGTAAACTTAAGATGTCAATATATGGACTTAAACAAGCTTTCCAACAATGGTATATTAAGTTCAGTGATACCATTATTTTTTTTGGTTTTAAGGAAAACACTATTGATCGGTGTATATACCAGAAGATTAGTGGAAGTAAGTTTATATTTCTGGTTCTATATATTGATGATATTTTATTTGCTAGTTGTGATCTTAGTTTATTATATGAAACTAAAAGTTATCTCTAAGAACTTTGAAATAAAAAATATAGATGAGGCATCGTACGCGATAGGAATTGAAATATTCCATGATAGATCACGTGGTTTTTTTTTAGAATTGTCTCAAAATGTATATATTGAAAGAGTTCTAGAAAGATTTGGTATGGAATATTGTTCAGCTAGTATTATTCCATATATTAAAGGGGATAAATTTAGCCAAATGCAATCCCAAAGAATGAGTTAGCTAGAAGGTAAAGAAATGAAAAAATATTCCTTATGCATATATTGTGGAGTTTGATGTATATACAAGTTGGTAATGGATAAAAGATTATATGCTCACACTTAGGAAGACATTTTTTATGAATATGTGAATAATAATTAATCCACAACTGGTTATTTGTTTCTTTTGCCTGGAAAAACAATATTATCAAAAATTGCAAAGTAATTTGTTATTGCATTATCTATTATGATTTTTTTTTAATTTATAGCAAACTTTGATGCTACAATTTAGAGTTGCAGAATTTATTTCAGGACTTGAAGTTATGGGTACCATTTTTAGATTGCTGAAAATTTATGCAGCAATTGTTGATCTTCTTCTATAAAAAATGATAGGTATTCTAAAGTTGAAATACTTTATCATTA